CTGCGCTCCGGCTATATTTTTTATAATAGTATTATTAGTAATACAAAAAAGAAGAAGAGGAGGAATATAGGAGGAGGAGGAGGAGGAGGAGGAGGAGGAGGAGGAGGAGGAGGAGGGAGGGAGGAGGAGGAAGAGGAGGAGGAGGAGGAGGAGGAGGAGGAGGAGAGGAGGAGGAGGAGGAGGAGGAGGAGGAGGAGGAGGAGGAGGAGGAGGGAGGAAGGGAGGAGGGAGGAGGAGGGAGGAGGAGGAGGGAGGAGGAGCAGGCGGAGCAGGATGCCCCCGCCCCCTCATCTTTGCGGGGGCGGTTTCCTGCCTTCCTCTGGCTTGGCGCCCCCTCTCCCCCGCGTCGCGCGTCTGGGGCGGAGGAGCTCGCGCCCCCAGCAGGTCTCCTCCAATCGTCCGCGGCCGCGGCGCCCCGGCCCGCGCGCCAGGCTGCCGCGCCGCAGCTGGCCCTGGCCCTCCCGCTGCCCCCGCCGGCGGAGCCGCCTCCTCCGCAGGCGCCGTGGGCCAGATTTTCACGGCAGGGCCCCGTCGTCGACGGCCCCCGTGGGCCATACTTTTTCCTCCTGTTTTTCCTTCCCGTCCCCCTCCTTCTCTCTTTTCCTGCCTTCCCCCTTCCGCGCTTCCTCCCCTTCCTTCTCCTCCTTCCTTCTCCTCGTCCGTTTCTATTTCCTCTACCCCCCCCCCCGGTTCCTCCTCCTCCTCCCCTCCTTCTCCTCCACCCCTTCTCCTTCTCATTTTCTCTTCTCCCGCCTCTTCTTTCATCCCTCCTCCTGCCTTCCCCCCTTCCGCGCTTCCTCCCCTTCCTGCTCCTCTTTCTTCTTTCCCCTCGTTCGTCTCTATTTCCTCTAACCCCCCCCCGGTTCTTCCTCCTCCTCCCCTCCTTCTCCTCCATCCCTTCTCCTTCTCATTTTCTTTTCTCCCGCCTCCTCTTTCATCCCTCCTCCCTCTTTTCCCCCGCCGCCGTCGCCGTCGCCGTCGCCGTCGCCGTCGCCGTCGTCGCCGTCGTCGTCGTCGTCGTCGTCGTCGTCGTCGTCGTCGTCGTCGTGGTCGTCGTCATCGTCGTCGTCGTGGTCGTCGTCGTCGTTGATGTCGTCGTTGATGTCGTTGTTGTGTTCGTCGTCATGGTCGTCGTCGTTCGTGTCGTCGTCGTCGTCGTCGTCGTCGTCGTCGTCGTCGTCGTCGTGGACGTCGTCGCCGTCGTCGTCGTGTCGCTGCCGTTGTCAAGATCGTCGTCCTTGTCCTCGTCCGCGTCGTGGTTTTCGTCGTTTTCTTGGCTTCCGTTGCAGTCATTCCGTTTGTCCGAAGGCGCGCTTTCATCCAGTGGGGCTGCCTTGCGCACCTGCCACAGGATGGGGTTGTTGGTTGATGGTGGGGGAGATGATCAACGGCCCTCCTCAGCAGGATATATGTTTCTGGCTGCTTGTTCCTTTCGGAGGGCAGGCTTGAACTTGGACCAAACACGGGATGCATACTGGGTTCGATGCGTCGAGGGCCTTGAGAAGAATGCTGCTTCGCCAGAAATGAATAGAACAACATAGGTGGCCCGACATAGCAACAAGTGCACGGTTCGGTGTCGGTGCACGTTTGTAGTGAAGTTGCCGCGCGGGCCGCTGATGCGCATAAAAAACTAGGAACAAGCGATCCACTTGTGTTTTTTCGGAGGGCAGGTGCAACATTAGCCTTATCACGGCCGACATCGACCTGCTGGTCATCGGCTGTGCGCCTAGTGGCGCCTACTGCAACTGATACGTGGAAGTTGTTTTGGCGCATCGCTGGCTCACTTTATTTTGTCCTTTTCCTTTCGAATGGGAGTGTCCTTTCTTCGGTCATGTCGTCGTAGCGGATGGGAACAGCCAAGTACACCCAGACAGAGCAAATCGTTGCCGCGAGCACCTCCTTCATCCTTGCTTTTCCTCCTCCGCCTCTTCCTCTTCATCGTCCTCCTCCTCCCGCTCCTCCCCTGCCCCTCCCCCTCGTCCTCGCCGCAACCTCTTCAACCCTCCCCGTCCTTCACCTCCCTTTTCCCTTTGTCCTCGCTTCAACCTGCTGAACCCCACCCTTCCCTTCCCCCCAAAGATTATCCCTTTCCCTCGTTTCCAACGTCCTCGCTTCAACCTCCCCAATATTTCCATCCTCTTCCTCCTTTCCCTCCTTCTCGTCTTCGCCACGGCCTCCTCACCCGTCCTCTTCCCTCAATGCCACCCTCCCCCTCCTCATCCCTCCTCATCCCTCCTCCCTTTCCCCCTTCCGTTCCTTCTCCTCCGGCGCCGCCGTCGCTGCCGCCGCCGCCGTCGCCACCGCTGCCGTTGTAGTCGCCGCCGCCGCCGTGATCGTCATCGCCGCCGCCGCCGTCATCGTCTTTGTAGTGGTCGTCGTCGTCGTCGTCGTCGTCGCGGCGGTGGCCGTTGTCGTTGCGGACGACGAAGGGCTGGGGCAGGCCGACATGCCGCGCTTCGGCCTCCAGGCCCCTGGCCCCTTCGACGACGCGGCCGCGCAGGAGCGCTCCGCGCCGCGCGGCGGGCGGCGACCCGGACCGGCCGCGCTCCGCCATCGGAGATTCTGCGGGTGTCTTTGCCGTCCCCGGGCGTCGTCGGACGTCGTACCGTCTAGTGTTCTTCGGCCCATCCCGCCACCGGGCCTGGGTTGAGGCTCAGAGTCCTCATGGATGGTCGTCGATGAGTCTTGGGTTTGCACAGGTCCTCCTCCTCCTGCTCCTCCTCCCCATTCCCATCCCCTTGCTGCTGCTGATCCCCCTAACGCGATTTTCAGACGTGCATCTTTGTTACTGGCAGTGCAGGAGAGGGCCGTCCGTACCCTTCCTGACTCAAGCTCATCATGCAACCGATCCCCAGTGTCTCGACCGCGATAGCCTGGCTGGCAGCTTGGACGGTCCATTCTGGTGTGGACCGCGTCTCGCGGACAGAGGCCTCGCCGTGCCCGCACTGTCCCGATCTGCGCTGCGCCGAGGTTCCCGCGTGCCCGACCCTCCAGTGCCCCGCGGCTCCGACGGTGCACTGCGCCTCTCCAGGGTGCCCGACGCCCTCGGGAGGCCCCAGCGCGAGGGGAAACGTCTCCTCCCGCGCGGGAGGCGCCGCCGGCGCGCGGAGGGAACCGCCTCCGCCCTGGCGCCGCCGAGGACCCCAGGCGGCTGGAGCGCCCCAGGCTGGGCGGCGGGGCTGGCACTGGACGTGCTCGGCGGGAACGTCGGCGCCGTGGTGCACGGGGCGCTCGTGTTGATCGGCTTGACGTCGCGATCGTGCTGGGGGTTCTTCCTGCGTCAACAGCAGCGTCCTCGTCTCGCGCTCCGAGATTGCTCTGGTACAGTTGCAGTAGTGGGCGTGGGTCCAATCTGCGGGGACCGCTCTCTTCAATCAGTGTCTGGTGCTGGGAGGCTTGGCGGTTACTCTAGCGGCAGCGATTGAGGTGGTGGCGGCCGCGCCCGACGGGGATGTGTACTGCGAGGTGTACGGTGAGACGGACCCGAACGTGGCGTCCGCGCGGTGGAGTGACTCTCGCAGGCCGCCGCCGCCGAGGGTGCCGAGGCGCTCGTACAGGTTGGGGCGCGAGCTGACGCTGGCCGATGTGCAGGAGTTCCAGACGCTGGCGAGGCTGGCCGCTCGGGGCGAATTCGTGCTGCACGACCGGCGCTCTGGTGGCCCTGGCGTGGAACCCGCGGGAGGCGTGCTGCCGCCGCTGGCGACGGAGTCCAGCTAGCAGAGGCCCCCTCCCTGTTCCTCGCTCCCCTGGGCAGAGCGGGGGAGGGCCGCGGCCCGTGGGAGGCGTAGACCCCTTCGGGGGGGGGCCTCCCCGCGCGGGCGCGCCCGCAGCTGCCGCCGCTGGAGCTGCCGCTGGGCCCCCCGCTGGAGGCGCTGGCGCACAGGCCCCGACTGTGCCCAGGAGCGACGAGCTGGTGTGGGTCGTCACCGAGACGCAGCGCGGCCTCGAGCGCGGGGTGATCGTCTTCCCGGCGCGGGGATGCCGAGCCTCGGAGATGTGGAGCCTTGCCAGGTGCCAGGAGCTAGCTCTGGCTTGCGGGGGCCTGCAGTGGTGCTAGTCAGGTGGATGCGAGAGCGGGGCGTGTTCATGCGGACGTGTTCATGCTGAGCGAGAGCGTTGCCGACGCCAGAATCATGCCGATCGAGGTGGTAGGCGAGCGCCGTCAGGGGAGGTCTTGGCGACGGATGGTCGAGCTCGGTGTCGTGAACCCCTTCTCGGACTGACCGAACCAGGGTCCCAGGGCGATGAGGTGGGCGTTGCGACTTCTCGATCGTCGTGGAGGCAGGCGTGGGGATCAACGCGCATGGTGGCGCCAGGTCGACCGTCTCCAGCGTAGCGACGGGGGGTCGAGGCGCGCGAGAGTGGGTTGCGAGCTCTGGAGACGGCCGCGAGCTGCGACGCCCTTCGGATCGCCAACTGCGCGTGCCTCGAGATCATTCCGAGAGAGTGCCAGGGCCTTCTTTCGGGGGCAGGTCGGCCTCGGCCAGAGCGCCAGCCCCGAGGGGGATGGCGGCGAGGGCGACGGCGAGGATAATCGCGGGAAGGGCCGAGGGCTGGCTGGGCTCCTCGAGGGGGGCGACGTTTTCAGGGGGCGACGTCGAGAAACAGGGGCAGCGATCGCGTCGCCCGACCTGCTGGACTTCGTGGCGCGGGAGGTCGAGAAGGATGCGAGCGGGCTGAAACAAGTGCCGCAGGTTCGCGATGTGCGCCGCGCACTAGACAATGCTGCTCGATGGGCGCCCGCCTGGTCTTGAGCCTGGGCCTGGCGGGGGCCGCGGGGCTGGGTTCGCTCGCGACGTCGGTGGCGCCCGCCCTCGTCAGCGCGATGTCGATCCGCGTGCTCGGCCTGCCCCCTTGCATGTCGCGCGACGCGTCGTCGGGCGCGGCGGCGGGCAGCCGTGGGCCCCGTCGCTGACGATCTGATTGGCGCCCTGAACGGCCCGTGCAGGGCGCCAGGCAGCGGGGCCCCGCGCGTCCTCGAGGCCTGCGTTGGCGCAAGGATTCGCCCTGGGTCACTTCTGCCAACGCGCCCACCTGATGACCTCGACGGACCGGGGGCCTTCGACGAGTTCCGGTCCAAGCTGGCTTATGACGGATCCGCGTCGCGGCTGGCCCCTCCTCGCGCGGGCCTTCTTGACCCGCCGCCGCCTGGATTCGCTCCGCGGCGCTGTGGGGGGGGGGCGCTGGTCCTGCGGGCGAGTTGATCGAGAAGGCTTTTAGACAAGGTGCTTCCTGGTGTGGATGGGGTAGACGAGAGTGGAACTCGCGGGCTCGCGATGGGTAAATGCCGACCCCGCCCTGCGCGGTCGCAAAGTGTACATTGAGTTCTTGAAGCGGATGCGTGCCGCTAATATTGTCGACTTTTGTCGTTCCGTGCGTCGCCGTGTTGGATGCTGCAGTGCGCGGGGGAAGTCGGGGGCCCGGCGTCTGGTGATCGACGCCCGCGTCGCGAACTGCTTCTTCGAGGATCCAGGCCCAGTGCGGCTGGCGAGTGGGGCCTGCTGCTTCGCTGACCTTCAGCTGGACTCGGTCCCGCCGCCGGTGCTGGGTGGGGCCGACGTCCACGTGGCCTTCTGCGCCATCTCGATGCCGAACCAGCTGAGGGACCTCTTCGGGTTCGACAGCATCCGTGCGTGGGAGCTCGGCGCCGCCGAGGTGGAGGGCTCGCCTGTTCGGCCTGGCGATCGCATTCGCCTTGTCATCGCGGATCTACCGATTGGGTGCTGGCGCAGCAGGCGCCCCGGGCTCTTCGCGAGGAGCGCGCTCGCCGTGGGCCCGACGTGGCGGACGCCGGCGTGCTGGTGGGCGGTCGCGCCCTCCCCAGGGCTGGGGCCGATCGCGCGTGCTGAGTGTGTCGACAACTTCGCGTGCTTCGGGCGCGACCCCGAGGTGGTGGCGGACGTGGTCGACCGAGTGCGAGAGCGATTGGCGGCCGCGGGCCCGCCGGCGCACGACGCCGAGGTGGCGGTCGGCGGGGGCGCGCTGGGCTGGCACTTCTCCTAGGGCGGGCGCTGCTCCATGCCGCTGAGGAGCACATGGCGGCCGCGCCTGGCGCTACTGCGCGTTGCGAAGGTGCGCGCGCGCGCGCGTGTGTGTGTGTGTGTGTGTGTGTGTGTGTGTGGCGGGGGGGGCGAGTGGGCGCGAGATCTCGGCGCTCCTCGGCCACTTCGCCACCCGCGGCCTCGCTCGCCGTGAGGTTCTGGCCGCGCCGCTGGCTTGCTTCGCCGTCGCCCAGCAGTTGCAAGAAGGCCGCGGGATCCTGTGGCCGCCAGTCTGTGGCGAGTTTCGCTGGGTGGCCTCCCTCGGGTTCGCCGCTGCCCGTGGGCTCGATGCCTAGTGGGGAGCGGGGTTATGAGCAAAAGCGTCGAGGAGGTAGCCATTGGGGTCTGACAGCGATCGATGGCGATTCTGAATGCATGTTGAACACGACCGGTTTCCTGATCCTCTCCCAATCACTCCTCCCGAGGCCGCCGTTGTCTGCGCGCCTGAGCCCGGGGGGCGCCTGGTGCCGGGGCTCGCGGGATGCTGCCGCGATGGGCGGGGGGCCGCTGCGCGGCGGGCGCTTCCCCCTCGAAGAGCCGCCCGACGACCGGGCGGAGACCGTCGTCCGCGGGTGCGTGGACGTCGAGACCCCAGGCGAGCTGGCCGACGTCCAGCAGTCCCACGGGCGCCCTCCCCAGCGGCGGCCAGCGACGGTCTCGCCCCCGCCGGCTGCCGCGGCTCATGCGCGAGGTTGGGCTGAGCCGCCGAGCGCGCGGCTGCTGGGCGGGCGGGCCAGCCCCCGCCGCGGGCGGGGCGTGGGGCCGGGCGGCTGGGGGGGGGCGTGCCCGAGCGTCGCTCGGTGCTCGCGCGGCAGGTGTCCGAGCGCCGCGACCAGTGCCAGCCGGCTTTTCCTGGCGTGGGCTCGGGGGCAGCGCCAGATGCGCGTGGGGCTCGCAGACCTGGAGACGGCGCTCGTGGCGAAGCTCGACCAGATGTTCTACGACGGCGCGAGGTCGAACATGGCGTCGAAGGCGGTTGTCGCGGAGGCGTGCTTTCGTCTTGCTGCTGGCCCTGGTTGTTCCCAGCTGGCACTGACGCGGTTGGCCCGCTGGGGCTCGGCGGGGCCAGGCCCCCCGTGAGAGCCCCCCCCCCGCCTAGGGCGGCGGCTTGCCTGGTGGCGCGATGATTGGCGGAGTCAGAGAGCCAGTGCCTCGGGGCCGCCGTCGCTTCTGTTTTCATTTCCTATATGTGCCTGTGCGAGCCGCCGAGGATCTGCGAGTGCGACCTCGTGCTTCCGCGGGGGCGCGTCCGCCGAGCTCGTCTGAGGTGGGGCGTGGCGCCGCCTTCTACGGAGCTCGTCATCGCGTCCAAGGCGGGGGCCCGAGACGACGCCGTGCCGGTGGTTCGCGTCGGCAGCTTCCCGTTCGTGGAGAGGCTGCTGGCTCGGCTCCGCGGCAGCGGAGGCGTGGCGCGGGTGCCCCGCGCGTGTGAATCAGCTGCTCCAGAGTTTGGCGGCCG